AATCGAAGAAAGACTGTGAAAACAAAGACGAAAGGCGAACGAAAGCAAGAAAGATAGGAACAAGAAAGCACAGAAGACTATCGTACCCAAAAAGCTAAAGAGTAGAAGAGAGTGAAGCGAATGGGAAGAGACGCGGGAGAGAAAAGGAGAAGGGCTTTTTCCCACATTTCTTTGATGATTTAATTTTTTGAAATATAAAAATAATAAAATTTACTTTTAATTTCTTATAAGAATTATGGAGAAAAGAACTGCAATTTAGATTATTTATGAGAAAAGGAAAATTAATATCGTCTGAGTACGAGAAAGATTAAGGTTATGACAATAGATGAGAATTGTAATTTAGGATTTAGGATTTTTTGAAATAATAAAAATAATGAAAATTACCTTTAATATTTTTATGAGAATTGCGGTTCAGAGTTAAAAAGGAAAGGAAAAAAATTTAGAGAAAAACAATAATACATGTTATCCCTTTAGTTTTTTTCTCTTACAGCATAAGATGAGAATTGCAGTTTAGAATACAAAATGGAGAAAATGAAAAATATGAGAAAAATAATAACACTTGTTATCCCTTCAACTTTTCTCTCTTTTATTAATTGATGTTTTGGAATTTTTAGACTAAGATCGTATTTTGCATCTATGACAATTTTTTTTACTTCTTCAATAAATCGTATTTTGCTTTCATGACAATTTCTTTGACTTCTTTTATGAATTATCTTCCTTCTATGCAAATGAAATGGCCGGCGAAAGGAAATGGATAAAGAACTAGATAGAAAAAAATATATTTATGTACAAGAGTAACAAGAAGTTAAATTTATAGAGGTAATTATGAAATAAGAGTGAGATATCTATTAATTCTAAAGTTTACATGAAAATATTAAAGAATGAAAAATAGTTGATACATAAGCAAATATGATAGATATGACGATGTCTAAAATTAATTTTATAGGGACGTATTAATATAATAGCCTGTAACTCGACTTTGCTATCGTAAATATATTGTTTGAAAAACATATGAGAAGAAAGTTCTTATCGCAAACATTAAAAAGTAATGGATTGTGTCCAATGTTGCAAACTTTGGATGTTAATTAGTATAATCTACTCATTATTGTATTAATTAATATACGTATATCACATTATTCCCAGTGAAAATATGTTTTAATTTAATTAAAAACTTTGACATTGGAGGTGGTTTGTAAATTTGTAATGGTTTCTTTATTTTTCTTTCCAATAATAATTCAGGGTGTTTGTAAATCAGTTTTAAAAGAAACATGGTGCAAGCAGGATGTAGATTTAATGGTATTAAATTATGATAGAACTAATAATAATGAAATATTATTATTATTATCTTGTCAAAAAATGAAATATTATTATTTTAAGTTTTAATATATTTTACTAAATAATATGAAAATAAGATAATATTTATATTTTTATAATATTAAAACTGAATTACATTTATATTTTTCGTTATTTATAACTCATAATATATAATATTTAATATTAAACATAGCAATAAATCAAATATATTATAATACTAACATTTATAAGTTCAACAACACTTAATAATATTCATTAACGGTTGTTAATATGAGTAGATATTTTTGTTTGAGACTTTCACTTGCATTAAGTGTGACTTGAATTTAATTATTAGATTTATAGTTTTACTTTCGATAGATATTATGAATACCATAATTAATATATATATATATATATATATATATTATATATACTCTAAAGTATTGTTATTAGTGGACTTTCTTGACCTTGCAAATGAGTAGTCTTCCCATCTTTCCTATTTCAAACTCTAACAAAACAAAAAAAAAAATCCATTAATATCTGTGTAAGGAAATTAAATTAATATACTTGATATAACCATCTATCATCATATTATTAGACCCAGAATTATATTAATCATCATAATGTTAAAAATGTTAATTAAAAAATTTCCATTGAACTGATTATGATTAGTTTGCCTAATTTTAAACGGTTTAACCGGTTTTAAGAGTTGATTGAGTGGATTTCATAACTAGTTTTTGGTTAGACTGACCAAATAGTTTTATCCAATTCTAATAATTATGTTTTTTTTTCTCAAATAGAAAAATTCTATATAAATCAGTTGATTTGAATGAATTTGGATTACACATGGAATTTTCAGTGTGTCGCAATATTTTAAGTTTGGCCTAAATTCATTATTTTTTTTCCCTCGTAATCCAAAAGGAAAAACTTGGGTATATAGCCCCACACTATCATCAAAACGATATATTCACATCATAAAGGAGTAAATAAGGACACAAATAATACATTCATTTGATGACATAGATCTAAATTTCAAATTTGTACTCGATTCAAATATTATATACAGAGAAAAATATAAATGAATAATTAGTTATTTTTTTAACTATCATATATATACGAAGTTTTCACGAACAATGATTAACCTTTGAGTTTGTTTAAATAAATTTCTCTATAAATATTTTTAAGAGAGAAAAATAAAATAAATAAAATAAATTTCTTCATAAGTTAAAACTAGATCATGTATAATTTAATTTTGTAGAAGTTCTATCTTATTAGTTTCTTCATAATTTTATATACTTCTTATTTTTCTCATACATGTTTTTTTTTATAAAATATTTAGCTAAGTTAACAACTATTATACCTTTTATTTTTCTTATAATATATCTCTTTCTTTCTTCTTTTTTTTTTTTTAAAAGCATTTGCATGCCCGCTAGGTCTCTATTTAACACAATAATTTTCAGAAGCCACAGAATTATATTTCAAAACAAAAATTTGCCTTAGTTAACAACTTAAGTAAGTAAATTACTTTCAGTTTTCAGAATGGGAATAGAGAAGAAAGAGCGTAAAAATATGAAAAAGAGAAGATGAAAAGCATTATTCTATAGTATTTAAATGGGTGAAATTTTAGGAGATAGTATATGTGTAGATAAAAATAAAACAAATACTTGATAGGATAAAAATTTAAATAACATTTAATACGTATTTTAGATGTTATTTAAATATTATAAAATTAATAAAATATAATAAAAATAACTAATTTTGTTTAATACGTATGTGTAGGGAGGACTTAGTTGTAGAAAAACAAAGAAGACTAGGTCTAGTTGCAATCAGATTAGACTAAACTCTCTAGCATTTATATTATATGCATGAGATTAAAACCACATAATTATGTACTACTGCTCTAGGCCTCTACTTTATGGAAATAGATTCCCTGACTTTGGAGAGGGAAAGTTAGAGTAACTTTACACATTTAAACCATTGGATTTATAATAGTAGATCAAATTGTGACACGTGTACATTTAAGTTAAAATATATTTTGTACACGTGTCACAATCTGATCTATTATTACAAATCAAACGATTGAGATGTGTTAAGTTACCATAACTTTGATATCTCAAAGTCAGAGGATCCGGATCCCTACTTTATGCTTAGGGAGGAACATGGCTACCTACAGATCCTTATCGTTGCACGTGCACGTCACTTTCTTTCCGACTTACGTACCTTTTCTTTATAAGCATCGCTACGGTATTATTATTTTTTAATAAATTTATTATAAAATAATTATTCGGACGAAATTTTGACTTCTCTTTTTGGATGATATAGTATTTTCCTTTCTTTATCTCACACCTTTTCATTATTCCACACTTACTTTAAGAGTATATACAATAAGAGTTGTCTAAGACATTTCTAATAAAAATAACTCATTTGAATTGTTTCATGTATTGAAAAGTATAAAATACAACACAAGTATCCCGTGGTGGAAATGCTCTTATAGTCACGTTAAACTAATTAAAATTATAGTTCAATTAAGCACCAAAACTTATGGTGTGAAATAATGAAAAAGAATATCATATTTTAATGTTACTTTAGAGTTTTGGAAAAATATTTTAAGATATTTTTTTAGCTTATATATAAATAAATTTTTTAAAAATATTTTAGATTAAATTGTAAGTAAATTTCAATTAAAACTATTTTATTTAATATTTTTAATCTAAAAATACTCTTAAAATAATAAATAAATATATTATTTATTATATGTGTGATTAAAAATATTATAAAAATACAGTGTATATTTTATATGAAATCGTAAAAATTAAATACATTTAATTAATTCTTTTAATCCGTGTGAAATTAATTTTTTATATATATAGATTTAAAAGGAGTATTATTTATTCCAAAAAAAGAATAGCTACAATATTATTTCATTATTCATTTCTATTGTCATGCTAGAGGATGGAAAAATTCTCATAGAAGTGTGTAACGACCCGCCTAGTCGCTCCACAATAAACAACACCACACATAATAGAGCATACATATATAAATATAAAGTATATACACATATGTCTAGCTTAGGGCTCAAATCAATTTACAAAATACATCAAAATAGCTACACTAAGTAGCCAAAAATAACAAACACATCCTCTCCATCTGCCAGCTGCAGACCTGCCTCAATACACCAACCTATCCCTGCTTCGCTCCCATACACAGTATGATCATTGCAGTTCAAACCACATGGAAACAACAAAGGTAAGCTAGTGAAAAGAATTAGCATATATATATAATTACAGAAATTATAAACAACTGCAGCTTATCATCACATCATCAAGTTCAGCAAGATCAACCTACAACACATCACATATACAACTCACATCATTCAGCAAAAACAACAATAAACAAACAATGTGTCGTCACGCATATCATCTCGGAGATCTCCTATAACAGCTCAGCCTTACGGCCTACAACAGCTCAGTCCTACGGCCTACAACAGCTCAGCCTTACGGCTTACAACAATTTATATTAGCATTCAACACAGCACAACATAGTAGCAATAACAACATACAACCTACGGCACAACTCAACGTTGATGTAGTTTATAGCCAAAATTCAGCAATTGGGCATTGTTATTAATGATTTTAAGATGTTGCATTGAAAGAACCATTTAATCTTTGATAAATGTGAGGTCAATTCCCTGTTATGCTTTGGCACGTAGGCCATAGCTCATGTCACACGACTCACACATGTATGTGATATAAAATATGGTATTAGGAAATGGTGTTGCTTTTGCTTTCATGACAAAAAAAAGTGCCCCACTTGTTGCTGAATCTTGTCCTTGTATACGGTAAGGTCAATCTTCAAGATCCATGGTATGGTTTTAGACTCTTAGTAGTCTCAGAAACCAAAACAATCCCTCAGAGGTTACATAGAAACAAAGGACTGATATGGGGTTCCAACAACATGGGAATAGGGAAGTGGGGTTGTCTTTGGGAACAAAAAACAAGTACAAGAGGATGAACTCCGAGCTTCGAGAGGGTTACGATGATGTTTTGCATCAAGAAGATAGGAGGAACAGTACTAGGAAATATGTTATAGCCTGTGCCATCTTTGCTTCTCTCAACAATGTCCTTCTCGGCTATGGTATGATTTATTATCGTAGTCTTTGATCTTTTTCTGATTCATTTTTGTATTCGTCTAAAATTCATGAAAGAAGAACTTCCAACACTTTCAACTTTGGACTCGTGAGTACTGATTTCAGTGCTGTTTTAAAACCATGATAAAAATACAAGTTGAGTTTGATAGATGTACATTGTCATTGTTTTGGGATTTTGTGGCAATCGTACCAAGTTTGCTATAGTATAGAAAAGAAGTACAAGTTGTCGATTCACATAGACTAATTGGACACTTGCTGAATATTTTGTAATTTCTATTATCCTAGTTAAAACTTGGAAAAGAAAGATGTACATTGAATATGAACATATTGTTTTGCATTTTAAACATTAAATTTGTAAAGAAAAAAACAATAGAAAGAAAGTAGAGTTAAGAGGTAACTGGGCGAGAAACTGTTGGGATTGAATTTCACCTATCTTATTCCTATAAGATTATCAATATATGAATTCTATCATTCAATGTTATTGAATCCTCTGAAGTCATTTTAAAGCAATTTCTTATCTTTAGAAATTCCGAAGATTCTAATTTAATAAATGATTCCTCAATTTACCAAAATTAAAGTTCTTGCATTAAGTTCGAGAATTTGTTCAACTAACAACTATTTATTTCTAGCATTTAGAATTATTAAGTGATTTAATTCAAAATGGATTTAAAAAATGTTTTCCAATCAAAAATCTAAATCAAAGATCAAAACATGATTGATCACTCTACCTTAAACGTTAAAAACATAATCGAGTTACTAACACTAAATAATAGAATATCATATATATATATATATATATATATATATATATATATATATATTAAAATGAATACATAAGAGTTTGATAAATTGCATTCAATCCCAACAAAAGAAATGATTAACTACTCATAATAATGAGAGCAATCTCTATATACATAGAAAGTGTAGAAGAGAAAAGGAACACAGAATCCCTATCTCAAGTTGTTCTTCTCCTCAGCTCTGTTCTTGCTCTGTTCCGCTCTAACTTATCTTGATTTTCTCTCCTCTTCCCTTAAATATATCCAACAATTAAAACAGATTAAGTAGGAAAGAGACAAATTCATTCAGTTTTTTCCAAACAGTTGAACGGATTGATAAATTATTCAAGGTGATGGAAGTTCCATCAGCTGAGCCAATTCCAATCCGTTGAGCCCTTAAGGATCAAAGTTTTCACCCCTTTCTAGACCAAATCCACTCAACCCTTTCTAAATGACTGAACGGATTTGAGAAATCTTGGAGTCTTGGGACTTCATCAAATCTTCATGAAAAATAAGGGTTCATAAACATATTTACACATCATTTTGATTCTTATAATATTTTAAGGATTAAAATACATATTTCTTTTAAACTTAGTTAGATAAATGTCAAAAAATGTTATAATTTCTAAGTAGAATGGACACTTATCACATTATAAATGTTTAGTTCTTACACTATTGATCAAACAAAAATCATTATTAGTATAAATTCAGATTTTTGTTGTAAATTCAAGTCACTACACATGACAATTTATGATTGAATTTCAATATAAAACTTTTACACTATCGGTACATATTATTTAAGAGAAATGCTATTAACATTCTTTCTAAAAGTCTCTTGATTATACCATTTATTATTGGCTGAAAATCACTCATGGTATGCCCTATCACTAAATCAAGAGAAAGACTCATTAAATGAAATGTAGGATCCACAAACTAGTTACTTCCAATAAATTTCAACCGATAATAAAAAGTGTTAGAAAGAAAAAGTGTTGCTAGCATTTCTCGATATTTATTCACAATACAACTGTGATTCACTCTTGTTAACTTGCAGATGTGGGTGTGATGAGTGGGGCAGTTATATTTATCAAAGAAGATCTTAAGATATCTGAGGTGAAGGAAGAATTTTTGGTTGGTATATTAAGCATTGTTTCTCTGCTGGGAAGCCTAGGTGGTGGAAGAACTTCAGATATTATTGGTAGGAAATGGACAATGGCCATAGCTGCAGTGATCTTTCAAATAGGTTCGCTCATAATGACTCTTGCTCCTTCATTTTCAATACTAATGATTGGAAGACTTTTAGCAGGAGTTGGAATAGGATTTGGAGGCTTGATTGCCCCTATATACATTGCAGAGATATCACCAAACACCACTAGAGGCTTTCTCACCACCTTCCCAGAGATTTTCATTAATCTAGGAATTCTCCTTGGTTATGTCTCAAATTATGCATTTTCAGGCTTTTCAGCACACATAAATTGGAGGATAATGCTTGCTGTGGGGATTTTGCCCTCAGTGTTCATTGGCTTTGCTCTTTTCATCATTCCTGAATCACCAAGGTGGTTGGTAATGCAGAACCGGATCCAAGAAGCAAGATCAGTGCTTCTGAAAACAAATGAAAGTGACAGAGAAGTGGAGGAGAGGCTAGCAGAGATTCAACAGGCTGCTGGTGTGGCCAATTGTGAGAACTATGATGAAAAACCTGTGTGGTATGAACTGTTGTTTCCTTCGCCTTCGCTTCGCCGAATGATGATAACAGGAATTGGAATTCAATGTTTCCAACAGATTTCTGGAATTGATGCAACTGTGTATTACAGTCCTGAGATTTTCAAAGCAGCTGGGATTGAGGATAATGCAAAACTCTTAGCTGCAACTGTTGCTGTAGGTGTGACAAAGACACTTTTCATATTGGTAGCATTTTTTCTCATTGACAAAAAGGGTAGGAGGCCACTACTCTTTGTAAGCACAATTGGGATGACACTTTGTTTGTTTAGCATAGGGGCTAGTCTTTCTTTGTTCTCACAAGGGTCATTTGTGATTGCATTGGCAATTCTATTTGTTTGTGGGAATGTGGCTTTCTTTTCTGTTGGATTAGGCCCTGTGTGTTGGGTTGTGACATCTGAAATCTTCCCTTTGAGGTTGAGAGCACAAGCATCAGCACTTGGAGCTGTGAGAAATAGGGTATGCAGTGGCCTTGTTGCCATGTCTTTCCTTTCTGTCTCGCGTGCAATTACTGTTGCTGGAGCATTCTTTGTGTTTGCTGCTGTTTCTTCTCTTGCCATTGTCTTTGTCTACATGTTTGTTCCTGAAACCAAAGGGAAGTCTTTGGAGCAGATAGAGATCATGTTTAAGAATGAACATGAGAGGCAAGGATGTGAAATGGAGTTAGGAGATGTTGAAGTTGAACAACTTGTGAAGGACAAAACAGTTTTAACAAGTTAATTGATTAGGTTATATGAATCTGTTTGATGGTTTGAAGAGGTTGTTGGGGAGTTATGCCAGGGATACACAAATTCCACTGCTTATGTCAAAGTATCCTGTATGTGAAATTCTTGAGGACTTAATTGGCTTGCATGGATGATCTTTCCACAATCACAGATTTGAGATTAACAACAGCGAAGAACAGAAGAAAATATGAAAAGAAAATGCATTCTGACTTTACTTTCCTAGTTGTGCCGTTATTGTTTTTATTTTAAGAATATAACAGTGGTAGTAGTATCAAAACATGGATAGAGATTTTTGACAAATTTAGTACCAAACCATCATTATAATGTATTATTATATACCATTATTTGAAGTAATGTGATTAAGATGGAAATTCTTTTAACAGATTGCTGTTGAGAAAATCATTTTGAATTTGGTAATACCGAAATGTAATACTTTATAATGTCATTAAGATGAAAAAAATTGCTCTCTTTAGGTAGGAAAACCATTAGCCTTGATATATGAAACTCTGATAATCCTTGAATAAACTTGTTCATTGTCAGAATGATCAAAGCTATGATCGGTAGACAAAAGGTCAAAACATGAGGTAATATCTTAATAATTAGATAAAATCAACATTTTATTATATTTATAATAACTCGTTTTCAAAACATGAAATCTTTCATGCGATTTCAAATTTCCTTTTTGTTAATTCTATAGTTGCCTTAACATATCGTGTTTTATATTTTATAGCTCACAGCTTTACAGGCAATAAGTTGAATCAATTTCTCTGCAAGATTATAATATCCGTTGGATGCACATCAGTTCTTTGTATGTTAAACACAGGGCATCAAAGAATATCCGTTGAAATTTTTTTGGCACGCAATGATAGCAGTATCTATATATCCAATTTCATTTGTTTGTATCTGCACGTACACGGCATGGACAAGGTTTTTCATTTGTCCATAAGGACCATGACCATTTTTTCCCTCATAATAATTTCCTCTCCCTTTCACACACACAGACACACTCTGTGGTAAAAGACCTTGCAATTGCACCTAAGATGGAGACCATCCAGCACAGTCACGTGGAAGTGAAGGGAATAAAGCTTCATGTTGCTGAGATTGGAAGTGTTCAATCCTTAAACACCCCTAACAAAATATTATTGATTGATTAGTTTCCGAGTTTAATATACATGTTCTGTCAGTGTGAAATGTTTTACATTATCAATCAATTAAAAATCATAATCGGTATAAAATCAACAAATTTATTATATATAATGGTTGTAATTGGATGACTATATAAAACTGTAACTTTTTTTCCTTAGTTTCATCGTACTTCACTTGTAGTGATGATTTTGTTTGTGCAGGTCAAAGGCAGTGGTTTTCTTACATGGATTCCCAGAAATATGGTACACATGGAGGCACCAGATGATTGGTGCAGCAAATGCTGGGTACAGGGCCATTGCCTTTGATTTCAGAGGCTATGGACTTTCCAACAATCCAGCAGAGACAGAAAAAGCAAACTTACTTGACCTTGTAGATGATGTCGTGGGTCGTTTAGATTCATTAAGCATTAGGAAGGCATGGAACAACAAGTGCTATGAATACGATAATATAAAATTCCTTTGAGTATAATTCCTTTGAGTACTATCTCTCATTCATTTTATAGACAAAAATGGATTAGGCCGAACAAGATTCGTATAGGATTGAATTATTTAAAAAATAAAAAATAAAATCAAATTAATCTAAAACAAATTCTTAAGACACCAGTACGAAAGCAAATATATATATATATATATATTTGTACAACTAAATGAGAAAAAGAGAGACTAAAATATAATCAATGTGATTGAGAAACAAACATAAGAAATGATGTTATACAAATTGTTGTATTGCATCACATTTAAAAAATAAATTAATTAAAACATTAGTCTAACTTGTTATTTGTCATAAACTTATTAAGGTTGATTTGATCTCTTTAAAGCTCTTTTAACCTATTAAATTTATTTCATAGTAAAGTTTTGAGACAGACTTGGCATGGACATAGTAGTAGAGCTAATAAGCCAATAAAAGTGTTTAAAACAAAAAAAAATGAGAATTACAATATTAGACGCATACTGGATTTATTTAAAACTGTATGTGAAACAAATTATAAAAGTTAAAATTGCTGATACTTGAGAGATGAGAAAACGGTAAAAATAGGTAATCAGATTCTCACACTCCATGTTAGAAACATGGAAAAAGTGGATTCATTCTCCTTATATTTCAGTATTGGCATTTATTCTCATAGAGTGACAAGTGACAACTAAGGTTCTTATTTTATGAGACATGACATTTTCCTTAAACCAGGTTTCTTAAGTTGAAGTATTTTGTTTAAGTGCTCTAAGTATAAAATGGTTTTTTAGTTTAGGGTACTAGAGTAATTTTATAAAACGTAGTTTATGATCCATGTAGGAGTCTTGGAGTGGACAAATGGCAACAATTTTGTTGACAAATGGTATTTGTTCTATCCTCAAAATATTAATAGACTGTGTGTTTATCCTTTTGCCTGGCTGCATGGATCGTACTCGGTTGCCTAATGTTGTTCTTATCCTGCTTCATCCCCCAGCACATGCTTAGCCTCTATCGACCCGCAGAAATTGTTTCATCAATCCTAATCAGATTACTCAAGTTAGTTGTTCAATGCACAGTGTATACTCATCAACTTTGGTCACCGTAAACAATCCTAATGTGGCTATAAATCTAATACAACTCATCTTCAAAATTTGAATCTTTTCCATTTTCAATACAAAAGAACTTGAATGAACCCGCGGGTTTATAGGCTTCAGCAATTGATGGCACTGCGCAGAGAGTAACAGATTGCCTCTAAGGAAAAGCTAGGGCGGGGCAAAATGAAGTGCTATTTCAACCAATTTTTCTCGATATTGTACCTGAAGCAGTAGAAAATTCAGAACAAGGATGGCTAAATTAGGAGGACAACATACAACAAATCAAACTTACTACAACTCGATGGATCAAATACGGGAGCCATAGACACTTCTAGATTTATTCCATAAAATCAAAGACTTAATTTTCATGTGGCAACCAAGTGGACAAAAAATCATTGTTATCTAATTAATTCAAGTGAATCACACCTCTCCTATATGCATGATTTTCCTAGTGCACTACTAACAGACAAATGAGAAGAGCCAAGTAACTGTTTCCTATCTCAGATGTTTCGTGCAGAAATTGTTTGGAATATGGCATCCAAAAACTAATAAACCTTGGGTAGGAATTCTGGGTTCCTCATTTAAAATTCTGTAACAGCATAGAACGTCTCATCTATTAAAGTTATTTAGCAGCCTATTTAACCAATAGCAAAACAACATAAATCCATCAATGGGAAATTGTAGAAAGCATGTGTTAACTATTCGGATCATCTAGTCAAGCATTGATCCACAACCTTGGTTGTTGGTTCAATATGATACAAAAGTACAAAACCAAAACAAACAAATCCTCAAACAGGAAGAATCTTTAACTGCATCAACCAAGATAACGCGCATATAAATCACACAGATTTTTACATAAGAAACTCAACCATGTACAATAACTTGTGGAGGGAAGATATACGCAACTTTACTCCCAGAAACGAAGACCCTTTCCAAGAAGTGAAGCTGTGATATCCATATAACAAGTCAGCAGCAACCACAATATTGTGCATAAGCTCCCCCTCCAATGGTTGAAGACTTGTTAAAATTCAATTAGAACAGACAAGTAAGATTTGTGGAAAAGCTACATAAAAATATGGCTCAAATTCCACAGGTTAAGAAGTTCTCACTTCTTTAGTTAAATTAAAGTAATCTAAAGATTTCTGCCCAAAGGAATATGAGAACAGATGAAATTATGTGCGTGTAGTACCTAAGCTGAGCTCATGTGGCGCATAATCTGTGCAAATTGTGGGAGGCTCAGTTTTCTTCCGTCAAGGAATTTAATGGCTGCTCTTAGTTTCCTCATATCACTATTCTAACAGAACAAAATATGGAATTCAATGAAATTAGCATCAAAATATTATAATGAAGGACAACTTTAAAGTTTAAATAACTAGCTTCGAGATTCTTTTTAGTATCCCTAAAATACCCAGAACGCACAAAGCTAAAGAGCTTGTAAACAAAATTGCCTATAGAACACACTTAAGAATACTACACTACCGATACCAAAGAATTTAATACACAAAAATACAGAAGTTACAGATGAAGGAAAAAATTCAAAAGAAAGAAGAACATGGATCAAACTAATGTATAAGTTCCTTCGATATTCTACAAGAGACATATTCAATTATAAATTAATAATGAATATTCAAAGTTGTATTCAAAGCTAACCAGTTATGACACAACAGCTCGAGAACATAAACGATGCTACAACCTTGGCAAATCAATGTTTATTATTGTCAGCTGCATTCTCTTCCTTCCCGTGCGCAACCACTACTTTCTTCAAGATGGATTCGGTTGGTTGATGAGAGTTCTCAACTGCCTTCGAGATTGCTTGCCATTTCTCTCCATGTTTTGGTTCAGCAGCGATACATCTCTTCAACACATCCTTCTGGTTCTCCTCAGTTCCATGCTGCAGTTCAAATTTGTAGCACAATGCCCAGAAATCCCCGATGTCAGGAGCTAGTGTCACAGCTCTATTCAGCCAAGTCCTAGCTTTGTCCACCTTCCTATCATGCCAGAATAATTTGGCCACAGCAGCAATAACATGGGGATCATGGTCACATTTCTTGAGGGCATCCATGCTCTTGGTTTTCCGCTGGGGACGAGGAACCATCTCAATTGATGCTGCCCACAGAATACCACTATTAGGACACTCCTGCAATGCCTTGGCCATCAAAATATCAGCTTCTTTCTTATATCCATGCTTCAATTCCGCTCTAACAGCAGCAAGCCAGAGTTCAGGGTTTTGAGGATTCTTCTTCCGAGCCATAGTGAGAACTGCACGAGCCTTACTCAGTCCATTCATCTCCTCTTCGAGATTAGCAAGAGAGAGCCAAAGTGGTACACAATTAGGACAGTTTTTAAGTCCAGATTCATAGACCTTCTTAGCTTCCTTCAAGTGATCAAACCGCTTCTCAGGCTGATCAAGCCGCTTTGCATTCTCTGCAAGCTGTTCCTCAAGCTGGCCAAGCATCAACCACAATTTAAAGAATGAAGGGAATTGCCTCAGACCCTCATCCAACAATTTTCTCTCCTCTTCAATGTTCCCTAGTTCTCTCTCAACAATGGCTGATTTCATCCAGACTCTTTCTGTACCTCCTCTCTCTCTGGCTTTAGCCAACAACATCCTAGCTCTCTCAGGTTCATGGTTTTCAAATTCCAGCTTGAAAGCAGCAAGCCATATTTCCTCAGAATTGGGAATGGCAGCATAAGCTTCTTGGAGGATAGCACGAGCTGCAGGCACATCTCCAGCAAGCCACTTCTCTTTGGCACCCATAAGCCAAAGAACTTCGGCCTGCGGTCTGTAGGTAACTGCTTTACGAAGTAATGCATCAAGTGATTCCCTGGTACCATGACTCTTTTCCAGCTGTGCTGCTTTGAGCCATATGCTCTTCTTAGTTAAGAAGACAGTCAAGGCATGAGCATAAATAGCTCTGGCAGTCTCAATGGATCCTCGTTTCTTACATTCCTCTGCATCAGCAACCCATGTCCTCTTCCTATCTTCTTCTTCAACTCCAATCCCAATAGTATTATGGATTATTGCTTGGCAAGTTACAACCGACCCAGCACGCTCTGCGGCCTCTGCTTCCTTCATCCAAGCTTCCCTGTCAATCACCAAACCTTCCCTCTGCAAAGCCCTTATACCCCTTTCAATGATCTTTCCAACCATGGAAGTATTCCCATTAGCTTCCTCCAACTTGGCAGCCGTTATCCATATAGAAGGCTCCTTGGGCAGCCTCTCCCTCGCCCTATTAAGAACCTTCTTAGCATTGTCATAAGTCTCCAACCTCGCAAGCGCAAGCCAGAGTTCAACATGCAAGGGACAACACTCCACAGCCCTGTGAAGCAAAAGTCTAGCATCCTCCTCATTAGCAAGCTCCACAACAGCCTTCCACAGCCTAACCGAATCAGGAATGTGCTCCAACCCCTTCCTCAAAACCCTACTCCTGTTCACATCATCATGCTCCAACTTCGAAGCCTGCATCCACAGCTTCACCGAATTGGGAATCGCCTTAACACCCCGCGCAATCACAGCCTTTGCCTCATCCGGATTTGCCAGCCTACAAGCCTCCAGCCACACATCCTCATTCTTGGGACACTCCTCACACCCTCTCTGTATCAACTGCCTCGCCACCTGAAGCTTCCCCGCCAACTCCTCCAACCGCGCGGCAGCAATCCAACCCGGCGGGTGCTTCGGATTCGTCTGCGTGACACTCTTAAGCAACAACCTAGCCTTCTTGAAATCCGAAATCTCAGCATCACTAGTTATCTTCATACTATTCAACACAGTCAAATACCCTTTGGGATCCACATTAGTCATCCCCGACACCGAATCAGACAACCTATCCAACTTCAAAGACAACACAGTCCCTCTACCCTCACCAACAGCAGTTAAATCAGTAACCGGGGTTTGTGCCCAAGGGGTCTCAGTCCCATTAGCAGCCCTACTCTTAGGATCCAAAGCTGTCACATGCTCTTGTTCCTGCCTTGCCTTCTCAAGAAGAGTATCAGGCACAGGCACAAAACTCTCAAACCTCTTCTTCTTATTCCTAGAAGAATAACCCCCACTCTCAAACTTCTCAAGACTCTGCCAATCATCCGAAGAAAGCGTGTACAATTTCCTCTTCAAATCAGCGAACTGTTCCGTGATTTTAGGGTTCGACGCACGGTACTTCTCAATCTCCTGCTTCAACCTCGCCTCCCTCCGATCCTTCCGCCGCGAATCCATTCTCTTATCAATGGCTTCCCAAACGGCATCGGCTTCCTTGTCGTCTTCGTCGTACTCCGCCGAGGCGAACAATCCCACGTCGTTCCCTTCGAACTCGTCGAACTTCTGATTCTCGTCGTAGCCCTTGTCCTCGCCCTCGTCGTCGTCCTCATCCTCGCCGGGCTTCCCGCGTCCCCTGCCGGCACCGGCGGGGGCGCCGCT